CATAATTCCCTTTCCTTTTTCCACGTTTTGAGTTTCAAAAGACTTAATTTTCACACCCGATGTTCCCACAAAAGTTTGAGAAGATTGATTTTTAACCCCGCCAGTTGGTCGTCGTTTATATGTTCCGTTATTTTGTTATGATCCCGTTCCCTTTGATGTTGCTTTTCAGGTTTTAATGCCATACGATAAGCCTCGTTAGTTTTAATTACATGATATAAATTTAGTTGATCTTGGATTGTCCACTTAAGACCGTTGATATATCTTGAGACAGTTTTTTCTTCAGATTCATCTAAGTCATTTCTCGATTGAAGTTTGTAAAACATTTTAATGTATTCTTCAACAGATTGATTTTCTTATCGTAAGTTATTAAATTCTTGAAGAACTAGTCGTGCGTGATCAGATGGAAAGAATTTCTCCCACATTTTTTTTCTTTCATTCTTTCCCAGTTTTATATTTTCTCTTTCCCTTGTCTTTGTCTATTGTTTTGTAAATTTTTCCACCATATAAGAGCATGACTAGTAAGTTTTAAACTTGCAAATTTTACTTTCCTCTTTTCCGGAATTTCTTTCCAATCAAAGAATTGATCCATTTTTTCAATCCACTCGAGGAATAGATCAGGTTGTAATTTCTCCTCAAAGTTGTGAACATCTATTTTAATCCCAAAATCCCAATTTCGCTGTCGCCTATTTTGGTTTCTAGGAATTTCTTCTTCACTTTTAGATTTTTGGACATTATGTTGGTTGACATTTAAATTAGCAAGAGTGTTAGCAATTTCATTCATTTGATTTTGCAAGTGTGCTAACTGTTACATCATATTTTGCCAATCCCCCGGATTATTAGCCATCTTAGATATCAAAAGAAAAAGACTCATCAACCAAGGATATTCTAACTCGTTCTGATACCAAACTTGATGCGGGCAGACTAGAAAGAGAAGACAAATAGGAGAACACTAGGACAAATGAAAATCAAACTCCATTCAATCTATTAAGCAATCATCCAAACAAACATCAAAGCAAACGAAAAGTCGAAAAAAACAAAACAAAATTATAACATAAAACTACTATCCTCAGAACAACCGGCAAGTGGTTTTCTCTCATGCAACGAGAAGTAGGCATTATATAATAAAGTGCTTAGGCTTGCAAACCGAGGGTCCACCACAGCAAAATGGTCCAACGTCCAACCAAACTCCTCCGGCAAATGTCTCCCAAAATCAGCCAACAAACAACTTCCAAAAGCTCAAGAAGAAGGATATCAATGGAGTCGAACTTGCATAGAGAAGAGGTTAGAAGCCAAGATGAAATAGAGAGGAGGAGGAGGTGGAACAAACTCTTAAGCTTTTCCAAGAGAAGAAACCCTCAGGTTTTTAGCAACTTATCTCAAGTTAATCAACAACCTCCTCAAGACAAAAATATCTCATATTTATAGGAGAGAAAGGGGAGCCAAACATCCAACTTCTACCTACAACCAAACCAATAAGGTAAGGGGAAGAGGAAGGGCAAAAGTAATCACAAAACAGCTCCCAAAAAACAGCATAGGAAACGGAATGGAGAAATCACGGGAACACAGCCTTGGAGGGACCTAAAGAGCCATCACTGAAGGGGGTCACGAGAAAGCAGCCAGGCATAAAACCAAATAGGAAGCCAGCACACAACCATAAATCTCAAATAAGAAACCAAGGAGACACAAGAAGGGGAAGAAACAAGCATCACTCCACATACCTTTTCAAATTTATGAGCTAGGAAGTGCAATGACTCCTCCAAATAATGAGCTAAACTTCAGCTCAAGCATTAATGAGCTAGCACTAAGAAGATCTCAACATTTCAGTTCACAACCAGAGGAATCAAAGCCCAACCCGAGAACAGCCAAGAGGAAGGTTCCTCTTGTTGTTCAGATTCGTTGCTTCGCAGGAGGTCCAGAGATTGCACTCGTCGCGTCTTTGACTCATTCGTGGCTGTTCGACTTCGCTCCTACGACAACCTTCCCTTCCTATCAGATCGGAAGTTACGAATTTGTTCGGAAGTAATTACGGGAGCTCGCTGGCGGACACGCACGCAGAGGAAAACCAAAAGGACTAGCTCGCTGGTGGACACGCACGCGGAAGTCAACCAGAAGGACTGGTTCTGTGCATGCCCAAGCTTCAGATCCGAGTCCTTTTGAAGACTCAGCTTGTTTTTTTTTTTAAAACATAAAAAGAACTTAAGAAAAAAAAAGGGAGAAATTTTTTTATCAACCTTTGTTGTCGATCAAAAAAAAAGAAGGAAAAAGTCATCGAAGCCAAACAACAAAAGGCGTGCCCAAGCTATCCAAACCGACCGAGTCTTTTAAAGACTTGGCCCAGTTAAATTAAACATGCAAATTTTTTTTTGAGGAAAAAAAACATTTCAACCCTTATTGTTGAACAGGAAAAAGTATTTTCTGGGAAGCCTTGATTGTCACCAGGTTAGAGTCCAGATCTATGGCAAGAACTTGATCACTATAGATGCATAGAAACCAGATGTCCAGAAGCCCATTGCTGCTACTATATGCCAGATAACACGTATCTCTACGTATTTGATTGACGACTAGCCTTAATCGAAAGTTCTCTCTCGTTATCGGGAGGGGTAATTAACTATAGGGGCTTGTGCCTATAGGAAACCAGAACTCAGATCATAAAGTCCTCGCAAAATGAGGGCGAAATCTTTGAGTAGTGTCTTATCTACAAACCCATCTGCCTTCCCAAAAATTTACCATGGAACTTAATCCGTTAAAACTCCCCCAACGAAAAAAGAAACAGTGGGCGGAGGCCGGGGCCGGAGCCCTACATTAATGTTTGATTTGATGAATATCAATATCAATTGATGCATTTCATTTAGAGGAAATAATATCATCACTATAATTTAGAAATATGAACTCCCACATCAACCTTAAACTTAGCATGTCTCCTTAATCCTTCTTAATTGCCTCCTTTTATTACCTATAACAAAATATCTAATAAAAATATAATTATTCTAATTGTTTGATTCTTAAAATTCCTCCTTTAATTATCTCATATATCTTCCTTTCAAATCTGTACATACACATCATTTTTAATTAATCTTTAATTTTTTTTTTTAAATATGTCACACCAACCCTTAAAATATTTAATTTATTATATGATATAGCATTAAAATTAAATTATTATTATTTATAATTTCAATTAATTTTTTGTTTATTTTTATATGATAAATCCATAATTTAAATTATAACTTTTACATTGGATATATCCATTTCTCTATTTAGGCAACTAATATTCTAAATATACTTCCATTTTATATGCTGTCTAAATTTCATCCTTTTCCTTTTAAAGCTCTAAAGGGAATTTTATTATTAATATTTTTTAGATCAAAATCAATATCAAAATGTAGGGCTTTCTATTTTTTTTTTTACATTAAATAACACACATCTTAAATAAAAAATCATTAAATATAGAAGCAGTAACCTTGCTTGTAGTCAACTTGCTCAATTGCTCGATTGCTACTTTTTTTCAACTTGATTGTCTTCTCCCACTTTCTGTCTGACTTTCCTGTCTCTCACACTCACGTACTCTCTCACCCTTTCTCACGCCCAAATCTTTTAAAGATGTGTGCTCGTCAATCAGCCAAGTTAATTGTTTGACCAATCCCTCTATTGATTAGTTGCTTTCATTTGCTCTCCCATCCCCTTGGGTGCTCACATGCACCATGCTTTGCTCAGTCTAGCTTTCTATCTCTTTCTTCGCTTGTTCTCTTCTTGAATCTCTCTCTTGGTCTCACTCCCTTTCACTCGCTCGCTGCACCCCACTTCTCTTCGATTCCCTAGAAGAGGTTGAGCTTATTCCATGACTTCCATCACATTCCAAGTGTCTGGTCACCTTTCATCGTGTTGAATATTATCCAATGGTCCTGAAAATATTTGATAAATACATAAGCAACTTTAAAATTGTTATCATCAAAATCAAGATGATGTAACTTGAGGCTTACTGGATCAACATGTGCTACACATGCCATAAAATTTTTAAAGATATCATGATAGATGATTTGTTTTTTTAATAATATATTAACTATTTTGGGATTTGATGGTAGGATTTCCTTGAATTTCAAAAAAGTAAAACTTGATAAAAAAATTTCAGTGCAACATAAAAAGTTCATTTATGGTTCTGTTTCCTTATTTGTGCTTAATTCTAGGGTTGGAGATTGGTATGGGGTGGTGAGTTGGAATTTGGGGTGAGGTGGTATGAGAGTTTGGATGCATCTGCTGCTTTGAATAATTATAATGCTATATGACGGGAAGTAAGTAACTTTTTATAGGAATAGTTTTCAAAATGCATATGAAATTGTGTTGTAGGGATTTTTAGTGGACCACATGGGAGGCAGGGGCATGGGTGGGGGGTTTTGTGGTTGGAGGATTGTTTGTTGCACATATATATATATATATATATATATATATATGTATGTATGTATATACATACATACATATATATAGTTGGATTAAATGGCCATGTAGCTGAGTTGATCGGGTTTGGTTTCCAATGTAATTTTGGCACAGCCATATCTTTGAAGAATGGACTGCTAATTGACTACTCAAACTGATTACGACATCATTAAAATGAGTTGCAGTTGGATATGGCAATGTTCTCTATAATAAAAAAACTAGTTATTTGAATTTACTGATTTGTTTCAAAATGTGATTCTGATTTGCCATAATTACAAAGTCTGCACTTCATTTTACCAAATTTATCTTAATTTAAGGTTTTTGAACTCATCCCATTTCTTATAAAGTGAATGTGCGTGCAAAAGGTGCAAAAATTTCTCTTATTTAAAGTTGTATGAGAGAAATTCCTAACAAAGAGTTAATTATATCTTCTGTCCATAATTTCTATCTTTGTCAGGGAGTAAGTTTCTACGGCATGTATCCATTGTCATTAGTGAATTCTTTTCTTAATGATTTTTCTTTTGTCCAGTCTGGTAGTTCTTTTTGGATAAATTTCTCATGATACATCACAGGTGATACTCGCCACAAATATTGCTGAATCATCAGTCACTATTCCAGGTGTGGCTTTTGTCATTGACTCATGTAGATCATTACAAGTCTTTTGGGATCCTAATAGAAAAATGGATTCTACTGAACTCGTTTGGGTGTCAAAGTCTCAGGTATTCATGGGTTTTGTGTGATTTTAGTTATTTTTTAATGTACTTGCAAATGTTTGTGAAAAATGTTCTGTAGGCTGAACAACGCAAAGGAAGAACGGGTCGAACATGTGATGGTTTCATTTATCGCCTGGTCACACGGTCATTTTACAACCATCTGAAAGATCATGACTTTCCAGCAATATTAAGACTATCATTGCGACAACAGGTGCTAATGATTTGTTGTGCAGAATCTAAAGTTATCAATGATCCGAAAGGTACAATTTGTTATGCTCTATTGTTATTCAGGTTTGAAAGTTTTCTCTTTTTGCATATTCATCTACAAATTGATGAAATGATTGCCTCCTTTACATGACATGTTGCTAATATACAAGAAGATTCTATTCTCTACCTTTTCTTTTGTGACTTGCATTGTCTCTTCATTTTGGTAATTGCTTATTTCAAAAGCCTTCTTCATTTTTCCATGGTGGATGATGTAGACGTACATATTGTCTTTAGTTGTATTGGCCTAAATTTTGTGATTTTCTTTAATATTTTACCAGTTGCAACATTTGGTTACATTTGAAAATTTTTGGCTCGCTTATTATATTTATATATTGTTTTGTCAGTTCCTTCACAAAATTAGCGTGTAGGAGGTCTACTTTGTTTCTGGATGACATAATAAGAATATTGTTTATCATGTTAACAGCATTGTGCTTGTAGTGTACTTGATCTTTTGGAGCTTTGTTGCAGTTCTTTGAGGCTTGTTTTCATGTTTTCTTCATTGTTAATGTTTGCAATCTAGTGATTTGTTGTACTTCTTATCTTTCTTTCACGTTATAGATGTAGTATGTAAAGGGAGGAAGAATAAGGCTTTGCTCTTTAGCAATTGGGAAGTCTGTTTTTATAGTCACATATCTTTTCAATACAGTTAGGAAGTGGAGTTTTCGAGCTGGAAACCTAGGCCGTCACCTCCTTTATTAGAAAAAATGCAGATAGCATGATTAAATGGATTTCATAGTTTTTGGCACACAAATCAAGCATTTTTATAGTCTTTGGAATTGCTATATCATCATCAACAACAATTAGCTTTATATCAATTATCTTTTGTCAGCTTTATGGATTTTTATTTCTATTCATTTTTTTAAATATCACATGTAATGTTAGGTGTATCCTATGGAAATCTATTGAACAATTTTTATCTTTGTTACCTTTGTATCTATTGCTTTGCATTCTTGATCATTGGGTTTCTTCATTATAGATAATATGATTAAGCATTTTAGTTTGCCCAACTCTTTGATTTCAAAATCTTTAACAAGCCTTTTCCTGACATTTTTTCCATCGTTATTACCGGTGGCAATTATATCGTTAATATATATGATTAGATTTAAGATTTTACCATCAATTTAGTGTTTTATGAAAAGTGTATGATCTCTTTGGTTTTGTTTGTATCCAATTTTATTCATGTCTTCTGTGAATCTATCACACTGTTGTGGAAGATTGTTTATGACAGGGATGTAAACAAGTTGATTTGAGTCGAGTATCTGTCTTATGAAGCCTGACTCGTTTAACAATTAATTAGCTCGAGCTCGAATTCGAGCTCATTTAGTAAGCTCGAGATTGACTTGTTTAGAAAATAACAAGCTCGAGCTCGACTCCAAAGTTCGAGTTCGTTTGAAAAGTTCGAGCTCGAGATAGCGCTCGTTTGAAATGCTCTAACTTGGCTCGTTTAATTGGCTTGAATCTTTACTTGTAAACCAAAGTTTTCTTTTTTTTTTTTTTGTAATTTTTTTTTCTAACACATAATTATTTTTTTTTTTAATTATGAAAAATAACTTAACTAGTCATAAAATGTACACAACTTCAACTTTTAATTTCTTTAAAAAATTAAGTTGTGGAAGATATCAATATATTGTGAGGAATCATCTTTCTTTAAAAATTTTTATTTAAAAGTTTTATCAATATCAAGTGCAATTTTTATGCAGTTAAGTACTATAAAAACTTGATCAATATAAAAATAAAGCATTTACATCAATGTTAGACCAAATTGCATATCATCACATCATCACAAAAAAAGTAATTGGAATTATACAGCCCATTAATAAGTTTCATGATACAGCATAAGTAAAAACTCAATAAAAGATAGAATTATTTATTCCTTGTCTATCTGATATTCCATATTCTTCAAACTCTTTTATCTCTACTCTCTAGTCTCTAGCAACAATTAAGATGAAAGCAAAATAATAATTATTTTAGAAAAGTGGTCAAAACTCAAGATACAATTAATGAACTAATCAAAGTGGAAAATGCATTTGAAGAATAGCAGCTATAATATTCTCTTAGAAAATTTATTGCAATGGATCTTTTTGAAGAATTATGCAATTGAAACTTAGACTTAAAGCAAACTATAAATATCAATATAAAAATTTTTAACTAAGAAAACTCAAATGCTACAACCTATAGCACCCAATTGCAAGCTGCCCAACAGATCCAACCATAAGAAAATAAAAATGCTTTAAAACAGATTAATATTGCAACAAGTTTCCATCCTGAGATGATGACCTTCCAAAAGATCTTAGTCACTCATAGTTCCCATTTTCGAGAAGATGCATAATTAAACCATAGTGCAACAAGAAAATGCTAATAATGACAGTATTGTGATGTCACAAACGAAGTAAATATAATGCAATTCTTGCTAATAAAACTAGAAGTGAATGTTGAGTGAATGCAGGAAACAGTTTTATTTACCAGCATAGGTCTACAGTTCTGCAGTGCATTACAGTAATGCTACTCAAGCAATTAAAACATGTTCTGGCTAACGTGACAAGATACATATAAGAAAAGCTTGATGAATGAAGAGGTGGTAGGCAAAAGAGCTTGAAGATGATATTAAAATAGGTTAAGTTGAGTTGGTAAAAAGAACAAACATTTCTTAGAAAATAAAAATAAGGCATCACCAAAGCCTGAGGATGACCATTCCAATAAAATAAAAAGAAAAGGAGATCTAACTAAAACAAAAGAGTCTGCTTGTAACCAACATGCAGCGCACTCCGTCCATGGCTGAATCTGCAATTGTGCAAAATTTCTATATAAATATCGGAACTGTACATTTTATAACAGAAAAAATAATAAATGTTTTACCTTGAACCTCCAACTACACATCCATTCTCATTGCAGTTCATAACTTCAATAATTAGAATAAGAGTTAAACTATAAGTGAAATTTAAGACAATATATTTTTGACCTCAAATTTTCTCATGTAATCTATAAGACAATCTCCACCTCTTCATCCTCTTCTTCCTCCTGCAAAAGCAAAGATAATTGAATGTTCATATGTATGTTATATGGCATACCAAACAAATGTGTTCTATCTTGTATGTATTAATATTACCTTAACCCTTCCCTTCAGGCTATATAGCTCTAGCGAACCCAGTTGGAATCACATAGAAGAGCTTGCACAGTGTCGACCCCTAATTTTGATCTATATGTATCAACTACTCGTTCTGCAGCATTGAAAGTGGACTTTGAAGCTACCGTATTAATAGGGATGGGTAAAATATCAACTGCCATTCTCGAAAGTATGCAATATTTGGCTTTTTTTTCCACCATCCTATAACATCAAACTTCTGCCCTTCACTACAAAGTTCTAAGCCATCTTTCAAGTAGTTGTCTAAATCTGATTTTTGAGGTCTTGTGCTTGTTTTGGATGAAACATGAGGTGAAATCATGCCAACCTCTATATTTTTTAGAGCTAGATAGATGATCTACACTTTGCAATGAACTATTTGTGCTCCTTAAACTCCCTCTTACAATACCACTATCACCATCTATTTTGGCTTCAGAACTTGGAACATATTCCTCATACATTTTGTAGAGTAGACTTCCAACGAGTTGCGCAATCTATTGCTAACTTTCTAGTAGGTAATTATATTTGTTGGACAACCTCAAAAAAATCTGACTAACCTAGCTTCAGATGCATTAACAAAATACACGGTATCTCTAATTTTTTCAATAATATACTCCACAGTTTTTATGCCATTCTTAATCCTTAGGTTTAGTATGTGAGCACAACAACGTACATGAAACAAGCTTCCTCCAAAGAATGATTTTTTCTTCACTCTAAAACTGTCTTTTAAAAGCTTTATTGTCCTATCATTGTTCGATGCATTATCAACTGATATAGTAAATAATTTATCCTCAACACCCTATTCACAAAATGCCTTGTAGAAGGTATCAACAATTTCATTACCTGTATGTGGTGGTGGAAAATTCATAAAACTTAATATTAGTTTATGTAACTTTGATTGTGAATCAATATAATGAGCTGTGACTGCCATATACGAAATTCTCTGATTTTGACTTCTATAAACCTATAGCAAAACTAATTTGGTTAATGCTCTTTAAAACAATTTTCAATTATTTTTCTCTTTCACACACTTGTATCACATCATTGCGTGTTGTTGCTCGTGAGTACTTCACAAAAAGGTGACATAGACTTCAAAATTAAATTGAATCCAATTACTTGAACAATAAAATGTGGTTTCTCATTAATATATAATGTGATATCATCTCCCTAACTTTTTGATGATCATATTTAAAGGTGGTCAACATTCCACCATCTTGAGTGCTATGAGAAAACGAGTTTTCTATATCTGTTGGTTGGAATTATAAGATTATTTATTTTTTTAAGACACAAATCCTAGCAGTACAACGGTCTAAATATCTTTTAAATTTTGTAGTTGCACCAGTTACTCTAATAAGTAGTTGTTTTTTACAACATATTCTCCCTTTCTTTGCTCAGTAGGAAGAATAACTTCCTTCAACTCATCTCAAACTTTAGATCTTTTTTTTTTTTCCTTTTATTTCTTCCTATGATATCATCAGCTTCTTTAATGTCATTCACTTGATTTTCATTAGTTCACTTTTCAACCTCTTCGTCAATCTGATTGTCATCATTATGTGTATTGTTCTCATTCACAGGTTGACTGCCAACATAAGAGTTAATATGATCATCAAGTCTTCCAGTCTCAGTATTTACAGGCTCAACATTATCCCCTTCCATACTTACTGGTGTTAAAATTCTAAAATAAATGATAATAGCATGAGAATTGAAAATCTATTTTACATCAAAAAACTAATTCTCATTTTTTTTAAATGTAAGTAAGAGAATTAGAAAACTAATATACATCCAAATATACATCCAAAGAACAAAGAAGTAATCTATGAACCAAGAGAATCAAAGAATTAATATACATCCAAATATACATAAGAAACCAAG